TAACCAAAAGGTCAGCAGTTCAAATCCACCAGCTGCTCCTTGGAAACCCTATGGGGCAGTTCTACTCTGTCCTATAGGGTCGCTATGAGTTGGAATTGACTTGACGGCAACGGGTTTAGTTTGTTTTTTACTGGAACTTTGTTTTGGGTGAACTAAGCACCCATCATTTACTGCCTTGGTTCAAATTCTGAATTAGAAGATAAACATCATATATCTATAAGGAAGGCTGCTTCTTAAAAGAAATTCACGGGCTTAAAATGTTTGACTCAGTGGATATTGTTTCATGCAGACTGAATTATTTAAGGCACACAAGTTAAATTGTATGTTGTAATACAAGTTAAATAGTATGTTGTAATACAAGTTAAATTGTATGTTGTAAAAGCTGTCCTATTTCCTACATTCAACAGCCTTTTGGAACAATTCCACAGCAAAGAGAAAGTGTTAGAATGTTTTCCATGTTCGGCCCTCTGTATCCACGGGTTCTGCATCCAAGGATTCAACCAACTGCAGATTGAAAATATTGGGGGATGAGAGTGAGGAAGAAAAGTTCCAAAAAGCAAAACTTGAATTTGCCCCGAGCCGAGCACTAGGTTGAATCCACGTGAATGAAGTGATGTGTAGGCAGCCCCTGCTGTAGCCTCTCACCATTTCACAGACCCTCAGTCTCTCTCCAGCACTCGGTGTCTGACCACTGTTTGCCTTGTTGGCTATCTGTGCTATGTGAACCCTTTGTTTCTGTGAAAAAATGGTTCCTACGAAGCAATGAAGGGGTCAAAGAAATCCCTCCAAGGCTAAGTGTAAAGGGGTTGAGGAGAGTGAGTGGAAGAACTTTCAGGCTAGTAAGGGATGGCTGGCTAGCTCTGGAAAGCTACTTCAAGATCACTGGCGAATTGGCATTGGGTGATGCCCAGGCAGCATCTGCGAGCCCAGAACAGCTCCAGAAACTCATGGAGGATAAAGATTACCTTCCAGAGCAAATCTTCAGTTGTGATGCAACAACTATTTACATAGCTTTTCCATATTATTAGGTATTAGAAGTAATCTAGAGATGATTGAAAGTATAGAGGCGGAGTGCGTAAGTTATGTGCAAATAGTACACCATTTTATATAAGGGACTTGAGCATTTTGGTAACCAAGGGGGTCTTGGAACCAATCCCCTGTGGATACCGAGGGACCGCTGTACGTATAATAACAAAGGATGTCATATAATAGCACCTCCTATAGTCCTCTCACAGTAGAATAAATCACTACAAACATGACCCTTTGGCAAAACCATATTTTAGTTATTAATGCACTTTTCCTGGTATAATGAACATACATTCTTGTTTGTCATGTATTTTTCCTTCAGAAATTAAAAACCAACGACAGTCTTGTCAATAAAAGATCTCAAATCAATAGCTGCCTCGGCAGAAATCATCATGGCATGAAAAAATCAGGAAGTGGTTCAAATGTAGGAGGGAAAAAGCAAATTT